TCTTCTAATGATGTGGTTAAAAGAGTTTGGTGTCTGTTTAATTCAACAGTGGATGTGTATCTATAGGACGTACTCGTGATACTGTAGTTACAATAGAAATTATTATTTCCTTTCTTCTAATGATGTGGTTAAAAGAGTTTGGTGTCTGTTTAATTCAACAGTGGATGTGTATCTACAGGACGTACTCGTGATACTGTAGTTACAATAGAAATTATTATTTCCTTTCTTCTAATGATGTGGTTAAAAGAGTTTGGTGTCTGTTTGACTCAACATGGATGTGTATCTACAGGACGTACTCGTGATACTGTAGTTACAATAGAAATTATTATTTCCTTTCTTCTAATGATGTGGTTAAAAGAGTTTGGTGTCTGTTTGATTCAACAATGGATGTGTATCTATAGGACGTACTCGTGATACTGTAGTTACAATAGAAATTATTATTTCCTTTCTTCTAATGATGTGGTTAAAAGAGTTTGGTGTCTGTTTGATTCAACAATGGATGTGTATCTATAGGACGTACTCGTGATACTGTAGTTACAATAGAAATTATTATTTCCTTTCTTCTAATGATATTTGCTGGTGTTTAGGCTTTTAGAGATTATACTATAATTAAAGTCATTTGCTTATTTCAGTTTCAAGATTTACAAATATTATGTATTAGAAGTCTGATTGATGCTATGGTTTTAACGAAGTTATGTGTTTGCTTCATTTAGCTACAGACAAAATAAGGTCCACGCTTACATTTTTCTGCACTTAAAGTTATGGGATGGAACTTCCTTATATAGCAATGAATAGGAAAAGGCTTTATAATTTTGAGGCTGTGGTGCTCATAATTAGATCAGTTTTTTTCCATGATTTAATGGAATTTACAAAGTCATAGTAAATTTACATATTTTTAGCCACTACAAAATCTTACCTCATATGTACATAAATAGGGGTATGTTTTGGGGTTTTGTTCTTAGTTTTAATGGTTTTATACACCTGCATCTTTGAAAGAAATACATTTATTGTGTCGCTATAAATATCTCATTTATACAGCATTAACTTGTATAAACACGATAAAAAAGCAACAAAACACAGACCAGTAAATTTGATATCAACTGTCTTGTATAGATAGTGTACAGAAATACAGATAAACCCTGTGATAAAGAAACATGATGTCCACCAACTGTCTTACAGTAGCAATAACTACCTAAACTAAAGTAAAATGTATGAATAATTGATAAATATATGAGTATAATTTAACTGGATTTGAATTGCAGTATAAATTAGTCTTTGTGGTAAAATTACTCTATTGTTGATTTCTATTTTCAGGAGATAGCCAATCAGCTAGCAATAAGAAGTATTGAAGCATGCTGCTGTCTGGGTGGTTATATGAAAGATGAAAAAGCTACTCCAGAAAATCCAGCAGTCCAAATAGCTCTTCGTTCACTGTTGACTCCCTATTTAAGCAGGAAGTTAAGCACTATGACATCTAGTGAGGTGAGAGAATTGCTTAAAATGTGTTGATGTATCTTTTGAAGAATGTTTTCATTGAGGCACTGCCAGAGAGAAATATTTGTCATCCAGATGTTACTTTCATATAATTTTGAGAATTAATTCATAAGTTCCAGATAATTAATAGAGATGTGTTTTCATCATTGAACCTTCTTATTTTGGATCATTGATTTATTTGAGACAGAAATCTTTTGTAAAATTAAAAACTTTGGTTTCATTACTTTGTTGTAGGAGCACTGATTTATATTCTGCAATAGAGAGCAAAATAGATGCTTTTTACTTGTGACAGGCCTATGTTTAAAATTAGTTTTATTAGTAGCAGGTAATATTTTTCTATAGTTTTATTTTCAACATGAATCAGAAATTGATTTGTGACTACATTTTAGTTGATTCTGGTTTTAACATTTTGTGTTTTTGGAAATTTTTTATCTGGCATGAGTATCAGTAGGGCACCTTCACCCTTTTTGCATTTTCAAGTAGTAGTTGGAGAACTGCTATGTGTTTTGTTTTAATATTTTTGAGAAGTGCATGCAAAGCACTCCGACTTGCAGATGGCTGTTATTTCCATGCATTTGACCTTGTTCTGGGTGAAACTCTGCTTTAATCAGAAGGAAAAGTTTTGTTCATTTGTAGTTATCAATTAACAATTTATTCTTAAAATAACATCTTCACTGATATGTTCATATGTCTATTTGTTTTGTGTACTACTTGCTGTATAAAAAATAAAAAAATGTTTTACTATATTTGATTATCTGATCAGAAGCTGCTACTACAAAACGTTTTGTAAATATTGTACTTCTTTTTACAAACATTGGTTTACACTGTAATTTCACCTAGTGAAAACAAATGAGCATAGTTTATGTTATAGTATGCTTTAAAATATTTCATATTTTGACAGTGGTTTTTGTATATGTGTTTTGCATACCTTTATTCTACTGAATTTTCCTTAAAGTTGTAGTATTACAAATGATAATTTTTTAAACTGTTGAGAGAATAACATATTTTCTAAACTTACACAGTAAAAAAAACAATGTTTGTCCTGGAAAATCTAACATAGAATGTAAAAACCATATACTCTTTATTTTGAAAAAGTATTTAAATTACATAGGTCTGCAATGTTTTTATAGTCTTGATATTTTTACATGTTCTACAATAATTCCTGTACACTGAATCTGAAAATGATATCCATTTTTCTCCATCAAATGGTGGCCTTTCCCTTCATATTTCTGTATCAATTTCTGAAGCCCCCATGAGGATGTTTTTGAGCAACGTCAATATCAGTACCTGTATAAACAACAAAATCCAAAATAATTTCTGTTTCACAATCACAGAGAACTTGGATTTTTATTCTGAATCTGTGACACTTTGACAGTACGTATTGCTTGAATATCAACCTCCCTTTGAATAACATTAGGGATTCATCAATTAAAATATTTTGGAATGGGCAAAAAGAAACAGAAAACTTTCCCCCTTCAAAATAGTAATCGCTTCCCTTATCTTCTGCAATCTATCACTTTCATCAGGAAGTTCATTATCAGCAAAATGAATGAACTTGAGTAGTTCAAGAAACCTGTCTCTGGTCATGTGTTTTCCAAAAAAAATCTGTAGCGCCTTCTGATCACTACTCTTATTGTTCTTTTTTTCACATGAGGCATTAGTAAAATAAGTGCAAAAAAAATACATTTCATCAATTGTTGTCTCACTCCAATGCTGGCTTTTTGCTTTTTGATGTACATCATAGTTGCGTACACAAAATTCACGATACATCTTAGTATTGTCTACAATCTTCTTCAAAGTTCACTATCGAAATAGGCTAGAAGATTACTGTTACCAGTGTCACTATTATCTGAACATGCCTCAGGCTCACTTTCATCACTTGAAATATTATCGTTATCTGAAGGAATGTCACACAAATCAGACAATTCTTCTTCATCACTCCATTCATCTATAATTTTATGCATTGATTGAGGGCTAAAAGGGCATTTTTTAGTAAGCGTGAATGAGGATGACATTGATGATTCTTCCATGATGAACAAATAAGTGAAAGAAATTGTATGTAATTGAAATACAACTTATTGTTTTACAGTAAATACAACTTTATATAAATAAATATTTCATTTACTAACATGTGATGATGTAGAGGTAGCTGGATGGTTCATTGGATGGTATCTAATGACGTAAAGGTGCTTATCCAATCAAATTATGACTTTCAAATGTATTAACCAATGAAAGCAAGTGAAAGAAAGAGAGCAGAGCCATAGTAGTTTTAAAACTGCACCTGTTTTTAATAAATAGGAATATGTGTTTATATGCTCTCAAGCAAGATACGTAGAGTGTTTATTTACCACACCCAACTTTAAGTGGTTAAAACCAAAACAATTTTCATGAAGTTTAAAATTGCAGGCCTGTGTTATTTATGTTTCTTTGTAATTCTGAATCAATGAAATATTTACTTTTGCATTTTTTATAGTATTCATTTAGTTATAATGTTTTTTATTTCTCTAATTTAATTTGGAGTTACTTATATTAAACGGAGAAATTGGAATTTAATATCTTTTTGATGATTCTCAAGTATATTTTATCATTTTAATACAGATCTTGAAAATACTGAACAGCAACACTGAAAATCCTTATTTGATCTGGAATAATGCTACTAGAGCAGAACTGACTGAGTATCTTAGGAATCAACAAAAAATTAAAATCCGCACCGTAAGTTTTTTATATATATTTTTTTTTCAATTATTTTGCAATATTTGTTTAACATTGTATTGACATGTAAAAAAAACATATAATGAATTGTAACAAATTATCCTGTAAAGAAATTGTAATACTTTTCCACCAGTTATTTAAGTAGTAATGTGAAGTGATAAATTTCTGGTGATACTCAATATCTTGGCATATAAACATTGTGTGCATAATCGTAATTTGACCATGGAGTGCCTGCAACTCAGACATTTATTTACACAAAGTAGTACAACGATGATAAATCACTTTTGGCATAGTCTAAGACTAAGTGCAGCTGTAAAGTGATAACACTAAATGAACCCAGACTTGAGAAATCTATTAGCTTTGGCTGTAAGAATAAATGTTGTATAATTGTTTATCACAATAAGCAGTAATTCAAAAAGAAAAGAAGTAATCTATGTCTACTCCATATTTTGAACTTTTCATTTACCCTAAGCTGTTGATTTCACTACAGTTAGCGTTAGGGTAGAGAAAGTAATGATAAACTATAAAGTTTTACTGATAAAGAACTTTTGATATTCAATGAGGACATTATAGAGGTTATAAAAATAAAATATGAAACTGCAAGTTAAATAGTATTTATCTAAAATAAAATGGGGAATGACCTAGCTTAACTAACCATCATAATTCTCCTAGCCATTCCTATCTCAATAATTGCTATATTCTCTTTCTGTCTTATATATATTTTGGAACTAAACAAAGAATAGAAGGAAACATTGTGGTTTAACCCTTAAATTGCTGATCACTTTTGATATAATTTACTAGTGGTAGACTCCATATAATAAATCACCTTGTGTAATTTTACACTCTTACAATATTAAGTGGAAAGGACTGACCAAAAAAACTAGATAAAAATCATTTATTTTCTATATTAAATACATAAGAAATTTGCATTTTTTGTATGATTCAACTCCATAAGAAATAGTTATAGACTCAGAAACAATTTGATGCATATTTTTAAAAAAAAAGATGTTTAAAAAGCCACCCCACTGTTATTCTCGACATAATAATATTTAATTTTTTTCATTTAAGTTTTCTTATCTAACCTTTTAAGAATTGCTTCGTTTATAACATTGTTGTGAATTTTATAAAAAAAAGAGAATTGCAATTGACTGTCATTTAAATTCACAGCATTGTTATCAATGAAGTAATAAGTTGAGAAACTTCATGGAATGTTTACAATTCAAGATACTTTTTTATGGATTGATAATTCAATTTATAAATTAAGAATAACTTATTGTAATGTTACATACTTTTTGTATTTTTTGTTTTTTCTATAGAGTTAAAACTTTCATAATTGAGTTGTGCTTTTTCTACTTACTTTGTAATTTAAAAATAAACTATTAAAAAGATTCAGTTCTAAAGTGAACTAGAGAAGATCATGGTTCTATAATTGGAATCGTGTAATTCAAACATAGCTAGAATAACAATAAGATTTGTAGGCTGAGTATAAATATACTGAATAAAACACCATAATCTTAAATATAATTATTACAAGATTGTGATTATATTATAGAAATCATATAATTAAAACTTAGCTACAGTAGCAGGATTTCTGGGGGTCTATATGAAAGTAGTGGTAATAGTAAATCAATCTTGAAAATAATTATTACCTGTGATTTTTGAATAATAATAACTGATTATATTATGTTTGAGGAATTCATAGGAAATTAATTTAAGTTTAAAGCTGTTAAGAAACTGTGGCTGAAAAACAAGACAAAATTTAGCAAAGAAGTCTGCTTGACTAACAGTGCATATAATTTTAATGTTAAAAATATGATATACACTGCAGTGAGTAACTTTGAAATTTCAGAAGTTTTTTATAAACACATAAATTAGGACAGATAAAGGAACCAGTATTATGTCTTTCAAAATTTTTAATGTTAAATTCCAGAACCAATGGTGAACTTACTCATGACTAATTTGTTTTTTTTGTTTTAGTTTTATATTAGAAAGTGCAACATATTTCTGTTTACATGTACTAACACTTTGACTTTTTAAATTCATATTTGGCTGCCTAGGGTGATTGTGACCCTTCCTTTGGAGCAGAATTTGTTTTTACAGTTCATTCAGAAGAGCTCGTCATTGGTGACATCTTTGTCCGAGTTTACAATGAACAACCTACTTTTCCCTTGGAGGTTAGAAATTATTCTTTATTATATTTTGTAGCATGGTACAGATTTCTGAGTTTTTTTTTATTATTCAACTATAAATACTGGATCCTTTATAAAGGGTATGCTGTGTGAACCTTTATTTACAGGAGACAGGACCAAATCCAGAAAGAAGTCTTCTTAAATGGCTTTGTTCACAGAAATACAAATTTGGGATATTTCATTAAAATTATTTCTGTGATGTTTTACATTTGTGAACTAAGTAAAAAAATTGGACATGTTCAAGGATAGCAGAGAATAGAAGATTTGTTAATTAGCATTACTCAGCTAAGTCATTTTATTACAGTCGTATTTATTTGTTTTACACAATTTACAGTATAATTCTGATGTATTGCAAATGATGCATACTAATACATGTTTTTTTAAAGCATGAATAATTATTGTGAACTTATATTGAATGATAGGTATTAATAAAACATTTTAATTAGATTGTGGCCTGTTGGATGGGGAACTTGACTCATAGTTTGCAGGTTGTGGGACTAAAACCTGACACTGAATATGCTTGTCATTTCAGTTGTGGAGGAATTATAATAATGTGGTGAAATACCCCTGGTTGATGGTAAAGAGTAGCCAAAGAATTGGAGCTGGGTGGTAACAAATTTCTTCAGATTTAAAACATAAAATATATTATACTTTTGCCGGTTCTTTCTCTTATGTAATTATAACAAAATTTTTAATTTTTTCTCCTCTAAGTAAAAGTTGCTACTCTTTGCTTTGCTTCTTGTAAATAAGTTTTTTTTTTTGCTTTACTGTGATCTTTCCTCAAAAAAAAAATTGGTAGACCACAATATTTATTATGTGTAGATTAATAATGTAATGTTAATTAACTTCAAGATTCAAGGGTGAAAACATTGTATGTAATGTTGGAATTGTTTATACAGTGTAATTTGCAAATGTAGTGTTGTTTATATATCTTTTAATTATTTTCTTTAAAGTCACATTGAGTTTTCAGCAATATATTACTTTCCTGATGATGAAAAGTTAATCTAAAATAGGTTCTTCCTCTCAATTAAGTATGATTTTCCATGGAGTTTCATGATCATCACAATAATTAATTATAATAGCCAAGTGCAAATGAAGAAAGATAAATCAAATGGCAAAGTTAATTCCTTTTTACTACATTTTACATGAATAATCTATTTAAAATAGTTTTCTAAAAAAAAATAGTTTTCTTATCATTTTTGTATGATAGTGATTACCAGCAGGTGAAAATTGATCCATTTTAATATGAAAATCCTTTAATGAATTTCAGAAAAACCTGTAGAACAAAAATGCACATATAATAATTCTGTTTTTAGATGAACCTCTTATATCATCTGTGTGTTATTATAATGGCGTATTACACTCTTTTGAATGTTTTCAAAAAGTGTGAAAAGAAAAATGTGACCATCATGGTTTTGGAAAACATATAGCAGAGAGTGAATTAAACTATGATGAATGTTAGTTATATGCTACTTTCCTTGAAAGGTTACTGTCGTCTCTCACGTAACACAAGATAGAAGAACAAATTAAAGTTTAACATGGTAGTTAGTAAAATGTAAAAATCCTTGTTTAATGACTTGTGTTATTCAGGAGGTCATGTTTCTTCTTTTTCTCATTTTATGTAATGTTGACAAAAAGCTCTCTTGTATTTAAGTGTAAACAAAAAATGTTTGCTGTGAACTGAATGCAAAACGTTTTCTATAAACTATTTAGCTTGGATAATCTTTACAAATATATTAGGGAAGAGTGCAATGATAATGTAGCTTAATGACAATTAAAACATAGTTTTATAAGTTCTCAACGTGTCATACTTTGTTTGACTAAACGTCAGTGTCATTCTTTATAGAAAACATTTCTTCAGAAAGTCCTAAAATTTCCTTTGGATTGCCAGCAGATGATGAACCTGATACTGTTTCAAAACATTTTCCAAGATACACGTAGTTTGCTTTTGTTGAAATGTGCTTTTATTTTGTTTTATGCCCTGATTTTTTGGTGTTTGCATACTCACCATAGTTTTAATAAGTACTTTTTATCTTGTTGTAGAACAATTTGGATCTAAATATTCAAACTGGTTAAATCTATTTTTTCAATTTAAAAGGTTTTATAGTTTTTTACCATTGCTTGTAATTGTTTTTTTTTAATTATTCAAACAAAACAGAAAAATTGTGTATATATATTTAATTTAAATTTATCAATAAATGTATTTTTTGTTGTTTGTTTGATAAATTGACATAGACTGAGGTAGTTGTTTTTAAGTTACATGTTAGAAATAACTTGTAGAAAGTTTTGGTTTACATTTGTGAGTATTTTTATCCCTTTTGAATACATTTTAACAATATTTAAATACTCTTTCTATCACATTGGGTTGTTTTTTCTTATAACCATTCAGAACTCTCAAGTTTTTAGGTTGATGTGTGATAAAATTTCTTTCCTGCAACTTTATAATTTAAGGTTGTGAATACACAAAGTATTTATGTTTTTTTTTTGGAGAGGGAGCTAAGTGTTTTCTCTACTTTTTGTGATATTGATATTGTAGAGACCAGTATTTCATGTTTTGAGCAACAGCTTAAAAAGTGTAGCATCAGTAATAATAGTTGTTTCAAGTGCACACAATGTTGGTTTTGTATTTAATAATATGTATAGCTACCAAGCTAACTTTTTATCTTAATATTGACATTTTATGTATCAGAATCCAAAGGGTTTCACCCTGGACCTCCTTGATCACCTGGGTGCTCAAGCTCAATATCTTTACTCTTTAATGGCACTGACGACTTCCAATAGCACTCTTAATCAAAAAGCTTCCCTCCAGAGGTTAAAAAATGTGGAAACCGCTCTTGAGGCTCTAAGAAATGTAATAAGAAATAATTCTGGTAAGAATTCCCTTTTATTAATCAGATCTAAGCGATGAGTTATAGCACTAAGCTATGTATATTTGTAGGTTTACAGAATTGAATGAGTTGAGCATTTATATTTGAGTATCAGTATTTGATTCATAAAAACACAATAAATAAAGGTGTAATCTTTTGTTCCTAGGTTAAAAAAGTTGAAAGTATGATTTTTATGTCTAATTTCTTCTTGATAAAATATATTTATAAAGATATCTGTAAGCATTATGCAGTTGACTAGAATGACGTATACTTATACTTGGGAAGAGTTTAAATGTTTTCAGAAACTATTACAACTAATGTCATAATATTTATTAATGACTAGGGTATAAATTTGTGCTTAGTGTAGGATATATGTACTAAAATTATTTGACTACTGGAACATTGTTTAGATAAAAAGATATAGATTAGATTGGATCCTTGATCACCCACATACAAAGTATGTGCTGTGCCATATGCAGCATTATTAATTGGAATACTATATATATGAGAAGTGTATATGTTTTAAATAAATAAATCCTTTAAATAATGCTGTTGTTGTATTATTTAGTTGGGCAGGAATGAAACAAAAACCTACTAGACAGAATATGTAGTTGTTGTATTTAGATTTAAAATAAAGAAGTGTAAAAATATGAAATGATGATAAACAAAATATTTTTTTTGCTTAAATGCCTTGTGATTGTGGATGATTGTCACATTTGACTAAGATCTTGAGATTTTTTCTTTATCGAACTCTTTATAAAGCAACATTGTGAAATAGTAGATTTTCAAAATTATGATCTCAAGTATTGTAAAAATCAGCTGTATTCATTTGTTGCTATATTTCACTAATTATTTTTTCCTTCCATAATGGCATCAACTCATTTTTACTTTCCATTAATGTATTAGCAAAGTGTTGGGTCCACTACCATCAATAACTTTAGGTCTAATATAAATCTTCACAGGTAATAGGTCACCAATTCCTTGATAAACAGAAACATTGAAGAATACGGTGAATTGTTATTTATGTTAAATGTTTAGTGTAAGTTGGAGAATTAATTGTATATTTACTTTTGAAAGTTGTTTCCTATCCTTTTGTGTCTTTCTTTTTTGTCTTTATCTTAATTTTAATATAATTTGTTTTGATTTTTCCTGGTGGAAAAACCTTACATGTATGCATCTTGTGTGTAAAAGGTGCAACAACTATGAGCAGGCTGTTCATGTATATGAAAGATTGTTTGTCAATGAGTTATTATCTGCTAACTTTGTCTTTTAAACAAAATGTACATCTTAAAACTTGATTATTATTGGTTAATCTGCTGAAGCCTTGTAGCCATAAATATACTCTGTATGTTCAACGATAAATAAGTTTTACATAACAGAGTACTTACTTCCTTTAATTGTTTAAAATATACATCTGTGTGATATTTTGATACTGCCTATTAAGTGGATGTATCTGTGACTCCAGAAGTACTATGCTTTGGTGAAACTTCTAAAATCATACATAAGGCATTAGAAGTTTTTAGAAGCATCCATTGGCATGGCAGTTATACATGAGTTTTTGTATAAAAATTTAATGCACATATTTGTAAATGATATATAGCATTATTATATACAAAATACTTATTTTATGTTTTATACTTAATCTGATTTTATTCTAGTTAATGCTGTTGAAGAGCAGAGATTCCATAACTTAACCTTCAGTATACTTCTCTATAGGTGTTGAAATCCAATGTATTGGTCACTTCAAGCTGCTTTTTAGTTTACTTAGGTTAGATGGATGTGCTCAAGTCCAGGCTCTAGCCATTGATGTGAGTGATATTTTTATTCAGCCATGTTATTTTTGTGCCATTATGCCACCATGATATCTTTTTGTTGTAATGTTTAGATTTAACTATCATGTACTAGGTAAATAAAAAAATCATAGATTAATAAGAAATAGTTTACTTAAATATAAATGAACAAACACCGCTAGAATATTCTAAATTAAGTTCATTTATTCCTTAAAATTCACTGTATTTTTCTTTATGGACTTTTTTTAGTTCACTGTGAACTGAATGATTAGGATAACAAACTGTGATAGTTAATAAATTCCAATTTCTCAAACATAAAATTGCTTGTTAAACTTTTTTCTTTTTTTTTCAATGGTTATTTATATACTGTCCACAAATAATGTAATCAATCATTTGAAACTTTCTTGAAGGTGATAGCCAGTGTTACTGGAAACCAAGAATGTGTAAATGATATAGCAGCAGCAGAAGTTCTAGTCTACCTTTTACTTGTTCTTCATTCTTTAAGCAACTCTTCCAGTAAGTACAAAGTTTTTCGTTTTTATTTTCCTTTTCCTTTACTCTTTTGAGCAGTTCCACAAAATTACACAGAAAATACCTGGTATGCCTGCATATCATGTAATTGTTTTTTGTTTTTTTTCATCATAAGAATAATTGAAAAATATCTTTTATATCAGTTTTGTGATAATAACATAACATTACATGACTACTGTTATACATGTCTATTACAATCCAGGAATCCACATTGGGAATGATAAATATCATGTAGTATTATTGACAAGACAGCAAAAACCTTTATAAGGCCATTATTTGGCAATGAAAAAAAAGCTTTTTTATTGAGCATTTAAGCAATTCATGTTTTAGAATAGATATTAAAGAAAATAAGAAGCTACCACATCTGTGGTGAAATCTTGTAAAACAAAAAAAATTATCCTGGAATATATTTTTGTGAGGCAATGTCATGATATAAAAAACTTTAGTTTAGATATTATTGATTAATTTATTTTTGTGAGTGAATATTTTATTATTGTTTTGTTTTAGTTATAATAAGAGTTAAACACAAATGGTTGTAGGAAGTTTTGTTGATAACTCATTGACGTCGAGAATATAGAACGTCACGTGCAATACATTGATGTTGAGAATATAGGAGGCAGGCAGACGATTAAATGATAAAAATATAAATAGTCTGAGATGAGTGGAAGCAAAAAAAAGAGTAAAGTTACAGGCCAAGGAAAAGTTCAGCGTGAAGTTAACTACCATAGAAGTGATAGGCCTAACGTTTAATATGTTAGAGTAAGAATAACAGTAAAAAAGGAGATAAGAAAAATAATTTATTCCATGAAAACGTGGTTCTAAAGTAATTGAATCAGCCTGAGTGTACTTTGACAAAAGGAACAGAGGATATTTTGAAGAAAGAAGAGCAAACGATTACGGTAACTCGTGCCACAATTGTAAGTGAATCATACACGGAATACTAGTGTGATAGTAATAAAGAAAATAGTGTTAAAGAGGACATCAACATAATTTTTGCTTCAAAGCCAAGTGATTTCTTTAGTCAAGGCATTAACAACTTGATTTTAATATGGAAAAGCATCATCGATAAGAATGGAGACTATTTCATTTAATAAATGTTTTGTTTTGATTTATAAGTTGTTAGGGTTTTTTTCATCTAAAAGAAAACCGACATTAATTTCTTAACGACATAATATATAATGTTTATGATATGCTTGTAATCTCTATAGTGTGGAGAATTTGTTGTACATACGTTTAACTTGTTCTGAATATGTATACATACGTTTAACTTGTTCTGAATATGTATACATATATATATATCTATATATATTATTTTGAAAACAAGTGAAGTGCATGCTGTTCATTTATTGTTGAATTTATCACTAACAAGTCACAGACACCTACTGTAGAAGAATCCTAAGCCCAACAACAACATAGTATATATATTTATACTAATAAGAAATATAAGTAAAAGTCTTTTATTTTGACAATTTATTTTCACATTCACATTTATAATACTTCTTAAACCTGTGTAAAGGATTAGGTTTCTTGCATGGTTTTGAACACTACACTTTTCCAATTATTATGGACCTTAAAATGAAAGATTTATTTTGTTTAATTTTTTGGAAGTTATGTTTTATTTGGCAGCAAAGGATTTTGCCAGTAATGGTTTTAAAGTACAAAATGGCATATATCTATCTATCTATATATATATGTGTGTGTGTGTTTGTGTATGTGTGTGTATACATATATATATACATATCTAATTTTTTGAAAACTGTTTCTTCTTTTTCATAAATCAAGTACCATTTATCAGTCATAGTAAAGTTGTTGGTTTTTTGTTTTCATTACTATTTGTTTGTCACTTGTCAGGTTATTTCAGAACCCAGCTATATTCATATTATGTTTCTAAATGTTTATTAAATAGGCTGGATGTGGCCTATGGTTAGTGTGCTGATCTGCGGACTTTGGGGTTTTAGGTGCATTATAAAAATGATTGTTAAATCATAGTGAATACTGTTGACTAGCTGCCTTCCCTCTAGTCTATCAGCTGAAAATTACTGATGGCTTGCCCAAATAGCCCTTGTGTAGTTTTGCGAGAATATCTCAAACAAACCAAATATTTTTTAAAACCTTCAAACTTACTACCCAAGAGGATAAAATGTTCTAATAATAATTAAACTTTCTTTTTAATGTTAGTTTTATTTAATTTGCTGCTGAAGGACAGTGATGATAGAACTAGTTTCTGATTCTTTTATATAGAAAAGGTTTGTTTCCATTATGTTATAACTGTATTATTCATACAAACCTTTTTTTTTTGTGGTTAACTCTGTGTTTTGTTTAAGTATATTGCTGTGGTTTAAATATTTTTTTGTAGTTTACAATATGACATTTTTGTAGTTTCTAGCTGAAAAGGTATAGAATAGCAGCTACTGAGCTATATTTATGTAATACAGACTACCATTAGTAGTAATGACTTGTTTATTTTGGATACTTAAAATGTTTTCAACACTAATTTCTGACTAATTTTTAGGTAATTATATGACACACACATTCTAGTATTAAATATAATTTTTGTTAATATTTTTTTTTTCTGTCAAAGGTCGCATTACGGTTCTTGAGACTCTTCTTCCTTTGATGTCCAATAGTAAGTTAGTCAAAGAAGCTATGACCAAAGGTACATATGATAGTTTAAAATATTAAAGGTTTTGATTATGTAATGGTAAAACAAGAATATTAAATTAAGGCATGATGTAGCAGAAAAGTGACTTGAAATAACATCCATCTTCCAGTTAACTGTGCAATTTGCTTGTATAACTCCTAAGTATTTTAAGTCATCATTTTTTTAAATAAAAGTTACCTACCAGGTAACTGATATGGGCCTTAAGACATCAGTTAATATTTAACTTTTATTTTCAGTTTACTAAAGAGAGTTGTGCTGTATCATAGAAAGGCTCGAATATAGTTTAATAACCATACTAGAATGCTTTGGAGTGTACCCTAGACACAAAAAAAAATAAAAGACATAGTTTTTGTTGGTTTTTGGACTTAAGAGAAGCTTAAATAATATATTTGATGTTTTAATGTATAATTATGTTACTGAATTTTTTCTTTCATCTCTTTGTCAAATTGCTATATATCATTTGTATTTAATGTACAGAGAGCTTTTAATATGTCAGTGGTTTATTTAAAGGTAACTTAAATTTTTTTAATTCTACAGTAAAATTATGCTGAAAGATTGATTTCCAGCTGAGAAAATTCATAATTTTTTGAATTCGTGGCATTGACAAAAACTAAATGTATACTGCTGTAATATTAAACTTAATTTGTAATTAGTCTCATATATAGATTTAAAAAACGTTGTGGTTGAGAAGGTTCTTAGCCTATTATAATTTCCATTAATAGAAATTAGTGCTAACTTATTTTTCCTTATATGTAGCATTTGTGATTTATTTTTACTTTTGCATGACAAAGTATATTAAAATCTCTGTTTCAGTTGGATACCTATGAGCTTTAACTCGTAACCTTAAAATCAATGAAGTTGCTCAAACTCTAATTATTTGTTAGACGTGTTAAAAGAAAATTGGCTATTGGCACACAAATATATCACATCAATCTAGTTTTTGTATGGAAGCTGGTCAGGTGATAACTAAGTCATCAAAATTAACCCTCAATATCATTATATAATTTATATGAATAGTGATATGTTGTGATATGGAAGTCAGTATGATAGTGTTCTTCATTTCTGTATACATAGTGTATAATTTACAGATGCAGAAGTCAGTATAATGCTATGCCATATGTAATTACATTGTTTGTGTGTTTGATATATTGTTATGTTCTATCTAATAAATATATTTTTGTATAAATAGTAGATAGTTAAATGTGTGGAAGTAGGAATAATATTACAACTACACTTTGTTTTGTGGCTTATTTAACTTCTTTGTCATTACCAGCTTTTAATGTGTTGATAACTTTCAATATATATTGAACTTTGTGTTCAAAGCTTATTTTTCCTGTTCGATATCCTTCAGTAGTCTTTTCTAATTCATTTGAACTTGAAAGAGTGACATCAACCTGTGTTCAGAAATGCAGGTCAAATTGTCCCGAGACCAAAGTTGACTGCATTAATGTAGAAACTGCCTAGATTAATGGTATATGGTTTCATATCAATAGCCAATCCCTTTCAGTGTCAAAATCTTTTGAAAAATTAAAGTAAGAATTTGTACAAAAACAAGACTGAGCTATTACACATAAGTTTATAAACTTTTATATATACGATTATTATTAACTTTTGGTTAGAGCAAGATACCTAGATAGATCAGAATTAACCCACTAATTGATATAAGTAATTTAGTAAACCCTTCTAAGTAGATTTATGCAAAGTCATAAAATACAAGCTTATACTGATTATAATGCATGGATTTGTCAGTTGGCTCTGTTAATAATATTTTCTATCTTAATCACAATAATATCTCACAAGATTTAATAAAGCTCCATATACCAAGCTAACAGTGTAAAGTATTCATAATAATATATAATAAAAATATATAAATAATAATAACTAAATATAATTAAATACATATCACATTAGTGATATCCAGTAAATATAAATATAATATATTTTTTTCTCAAAAGATTATGCTGATGATTATGTTTATTAAAAGTATTATGTTGTTCTAGGAGCTGTAATATATCTGTTAAATCTCTTCTGTAACTCTACAAATCCTCAAATCCGTGAACAAACTGCTGAGCTCCTTGGAAAGATGACTTCAGATAAACTTGTAGGACCAAAGCTACGTATCACCCTGAACAAATTTTTACCTCAGTTGTTCCTAGATGCAACCAAAGATTCACCTGAAGCTGCTGTCATGATGTTTGAAGGTCAGAATATACTAAATCAAATCTTTCTCTGTATTGTGTTGTAATCACATACACTGAAGTTGAAAGTCAAATAATATGTCCAAGAAAAAGAGGAAACATTACATTCTTTGCAAAGTAATTATTGAAATGATTATGTTCTAACTATCTTTCTTGGATATGTATTATTGCATCAGCTCCTTATTTTGTAGACCTTTAAAGTCCTTTCTAGCTTTTCAAGTGCTTCACATGAAATAAAATTTGCCTTCAAAAGTTACTATAAGTACAGATATGAAGTGTTAGTCATGTGACTTGTTAAAAGTTATTGAGATAATAAACTTAATAAATGTTGAAGGTTTATCTAGAAATATACGTACAGTGTTTCTGCTCTAAGGAGAGCAGTTTCTAATCTCAATAACTACTAAATGTGTTTACCATGGAATCTAGCCATAATAAAAATAAAAAAATGCATGTTTACCACACTTTTTTTATTATGTGTTATGGTTTTAAAGCTATTTAAATGTTGTAAATGTAATTTTGTGAAATTGTACAACTCTGGAACTGAACTATGCTGTTTGGACTAATTGAGTGTCATTACTTTTTACAAGAAATTACATAGTTGAGAATTAATTTTATAATGTTAACCTCATGTCAAACAAAATATTATAGCAATTCACTGTAGTGATATAATAATTCTGTTATAAAGATCATCAGGTTTTTATCTGTTGTTTTCATTATAAGAAAATTGGCATAAATATAGTTCACATTTCTAGATGTGTATTGTTGTTTAGCCTGGACAATTTTGTGATGAAACATAATCTTTATATTAACAAAGAAACATTTAATACTTTGTTGTTCCCAGTGACATTTTGTTTTGCTCATCGTGTTTCATGTAGTAATCCATGTAAATAATTTGTTTTAATTATGGTGTGTTAATGGCACAAGAGGAAGCATTTTTTAATGTATTTAGACTTTTGCTTGAACTTTTGTTGTTGGTTCAAAAAAATTTAATTTTGTTTTCTAGAATGCTTATATTTTCATCAAGTTTTAAAAAGTTGTAAAAAAATTACCATGAAAAGCTTCCATTTGATTTTGTTTAATGTTAAATAAGTAAATGCAGCCTCCTGTTATCTGTCAAGTTAACCTTTTACGTGTAATCTAAGAAATATATCTGAACTTTAATTTTGCTTAATTAGTCATGTTCCCAAAAACATAGTAAAAAACTAGGATATGAGTGAATAAGTTGCTTTTTGAATTTCCCTGTGTTTTATTTCAGATGAGGATTGTTTATGAGTTTAAAGACAAACTTTATACTTTGATCTAATGAAAGCATGTTTCTAAACAAAAGTTACTTTAAGAACTAGAATCATGAGACTTCTTGAAATATACCTGTGTTATAATGAAACTTCTTAACTATTTCATTATAGGAACTATAAATAAAATACAGTACACATAAGAAGTTTGTAATCACTACGAATAAGTTACTATAAGCCCATAAGTTGTATGCTACCAGATGTCTCTAGAAACCATTTGAGGAATTGTTAAAACCAAAGATTCTAATTTCTAGGAGTTAATTTACACAGAAGCTAGAAAGTCTTTAATCACTAGAACTAGGTTTGTTTTTTATAAGACAAAAATATGTTATGTCAATGTAGGAATCTGGAATAAGTTACAACCAAGAGGCTGTAATCAATAGAATTAGGTTTTTTATGTCAATGAAGGATTCTGTATTAAGTTACTACCAAAATTTTGTAATCACTAGGACTAGGTTTTTTTTTATATAT